GACCCTCTGGAATTAACCATGTACAGATATGTATGTGGTCCTCACAGCACCATACTCTGTCCATAATGCTTTAAAGTGTGGTCAGATACATGTGTATTGATGTGAGATAGGCAGACTCCATAGTACATGTACATATACGGTACATGAAGTAATGAAATTGCTAGGATTCATTGCAGGCATGTTAGTATGCAGTCACTTCATGTAATAAGTCTGACTGAGGTGACATTGAAACGTGTTAAAATCTGCCTCCCTTTTATTGTCAGTTTGTTTTACAACTTGCGACTGGGTCCTTGTGGCACATTTTCCTTGAGGTACATGTATCTGTGTTTATTATGACAGAACCAGACCGTGATGTTTGTTGAAATTAAACCTCAGCTTGGGGAGCTAGGTTTAGTAGAGTTCACCCATCTTACTCGAGGATTAAATTTATAATTCATTGGCTAATGACGATTGTGAGTTGTTGGGTGTGTAGCACGTACCCTACGTAACATTCCTGTACAACATTACCAGGGGCAGTGCTGGATGTGACTGTGCCACTGTGGTTACCTTTGGGGTGCAATAAGGGGGTCATCAGAGGTCATCAGAGATATGTTGAATGATGTCAGGCTGGCTGGCTGGCTGGCAGGAGGAATTTGTGCAGCCAGACACATGAAAATGATCCATCAGAACTATTAGCTGAATCTGTGAGATTTGTATGTGGTTTGGTGGGCCCACACATTCTTGTAGCAGTTTGAATATCAATGTGAGATTTTTTATGTAGATACTGTGCTGTGTAACTGTACATGTGCAAATACTACATGTACATGTATATATTGGTACATGTTTGCATTGTACCTGCTCCCTGTGCCACATAGGAATGATGAAATTCCCTGGCACTGTATTAGTAACAAAGAAAAATGTTGTTTGTGTATTTCAAAGCCTGTTATAAATGAGAAATGCTTACATAGAATTGCATCCTCAAACTGATTGATTGATTTCTTCAAAACATTTTGTAATCGTATTCCCCGATAGGGATCCCTATGTACTTGATGTTTTGTCATCATGAAATTGTTTGAAAAATGTTTTTTTTAGTACAATATTTTTCTACCATGTTAATTTAAGCATATAACAACTTGATTTTTCTGACAAATTTTAATGGATTTGGTCAAATCTTACACAAATAAATAAAAAGCTTTTAAGACTACATGTACTGCTACTGTGTTGTCCTTCAGATAAGCGCACTTAAGCTTTGTGACCCTGTTCAATTGAATAAGGCCATTCAACTCTGGAAATCATTCACAGATTTCAAAATCTCCCTTAGCTCAATGATAACGCTCTTAATCTAATACAGTATGTGTGTAGATGGAAAAGGCAAAATTAAATCAGAATGGAAGAGTACTTATCAATAAGACATGTTGTACTTGGGTCTTAGAGTTTGCTATATTCTGTCAGTTGTAGTCAGTTTTCACTTCATAGATTGGCTGCTTTTACCACCTTTTGCGTTGAGTAGCAGTAATGTAATACTAGTGTATAGGACCTACATGTAGGTACATGTACGCAAACTAACATCAAAGTTTATAAGAAAAAATTGTATTTTCTACTAGAAAAATGGTAAGAAAAGTTCTGTATATTTTGTTCTGTTTCCTAAACAGCCAAAAGAAGCAGCCAAGCGGTTTAAATTCATTGCCGAGGATTCTGGAAAGGGAGGGCTGAATGGTGGGCACCAGCAGGGCCAGCCACTCGAGCCGGACAAATCCTGGCAGAACTTTGACCAGAAGGCGTACATTGCTAAGACCCTGGTCAAGAAGGGACAGGATGCATACGCCAGGAACAAGTTCAACCAACAGGAGAGCGATAAACTCAAGATGGACAGGAATGTTCCAGACACCAGACATTCACTGTAAGTACCAGTACATACTTGTCCTCCAGTCCAATAGCTGCCACCATCTTGGATTACAGAGTTTGGATGTTGGTGGGCACATTTTAGATGCTTCACTATTTTTTTGTGCCTGCACAGGTGTTGTTTGCCAGGTTTATACACGTGTAGATATACGCACTTACAATCTTGTATCACACACCGGGGAAGGTAGAGGTTTCTTTGATATTGGCTCCTTGGAGAAATGGGATGGGGTTTTTTACATTCATGTGCAGGTTTAAATTTTTATTTTGGGTTTGGTTAAATGTTGTTAGGGTGCATTGTTTTCCACAATTCTTAAATGGGTACTTGGTTTTAAGGTTTTAATCATGTTGATTGTTTCTTTCAAGAAATAGTTGTTCGTATCTTTGTACGTTAATGTTGTACATGTAAGCTGTATTTGGGTTGTATTGAATCATCAAAGACCATTTTAATTTCCCCTGTTGGGATAAGAAAGTTTTCCTTATCTTTTTTTATGTCTCAATTAATACCCTTTGGCTGGAAAACACCTCACATGCACACAACTCCAAAGGTGCGTTCGCGCGGCTACTCCTGTTAACACGAGTAGGATGCGTGCGCATTACACTCGGGAACAGGAGTATACTCCCCCTCTAGCGAGAGTGTACTCTCGCTGACCCTCGGGTCATACTCCAGCCCTTTGAGTGCTCAGGTGTATACTCGTGTTAATGCGAGGAGCTCGCTTGAACGTACCCTATATGTGTGCAGCTTGGGATGGTCTGAGCATGTGGGACAAAGTTCAATTGAAACTTATGGTCTTGTAGTGTGCGTCAAGTTACAATTTTCTTTGCTCTTTGGGCATGCTTGTAGTCAGAGTGGATTTTGAAACCAGGGAAACTTTCAATGACGTAGGTTTGTTGGTTGACCTCATGCCTTGAGCAGAGGGGCCAGTTTTGTAGAACTACACTGCAAGCAGAAGGCGTCGCTGACAAAATTTGCTGCTCATAAATGAACAGAGAACCTGTCTTTACACCAGTCCTGCATTGCCTGGCACTTTAGAATAGTAACCTGTTCCTGCTAGACATGGACATGTATATTTCTGTGCTCAGGAGTGTTTTGTCTGAATTCCTTTGCTGCAGATGGAAATTTGACACAACACTGTAGAAAGTGGCTTCAGCCACTACCATAGACTGTTTGTAATTTCAGGCTGTAGCCAAGTGTAATTTGGACGTAGCCATGCTCTGTGAATTTAGCTTCAGTCTCTAGTCTATATGTACTACACGTACATGTACATGCCATCCAATGAAATGTGATCCACTTTTCATAATTGACCTGTGATCTTTTCTTACATTTGTTTTTTTAAGTATGTGGACTTCACATGGTGTGGTGTCAATCAAACAGAGTTAGGAAATGCTGGTAAAATTGTCCCAAACTATAAAGGCATGTGATAAATGTGCTCTTTTTTTTCCCCTGTTGGGGTCATTACGGTGGACTGGTATATGTTGTCACATGTTTGAAATATTTTTCTGTTACTTCCAGAGTTATTGGGTAGATTTTTATACAAAGTCGTATGCTTGATGTGGAAACGTTGTCTAATACAATGGTTTGTTTCCACATGTGCATTTGAACCATATTTTTCCTGAATTGTCTCATAAGTTTTTGAAAAAAAATGACTGGTACATTTCCTTTTGAAAAAAATGTTTCTTTTGATACTTGTCAAGAATTTTTTTCATTTTAGATGTGGGGGCTGGACATTAACTGAGCTTTATTCAAAATGTCACTGTTTCATGTACAGTATACACTATTCAAATTCTACAAGAATCGATACATGTATGTCTCTTTGTGTAGTGAAATTGTATGCATTGGATGTACTGCATCATAAAATGATGGAATACATGCATGCGGACAATTTTTGCATAATGTCATAAACCACATGGCCCTGTGGATCATTAAAAGTGACTCGGATAATGCTGAGTATTTACAAGTCATTTGTTTCGAGAGCAGATGCATTGGTACATGTAGGTTTTGTTTCAGTTTCACCTGTTCTATTATTATTAGTATTATAATCATCAAAATTGGACTTGTGTTGTGCTGACTCCTTGACCAACCTAGCTGTTCGCAAGCACATCACATATGCAACACATCAAACATTTGTCAAAACTACACATAAAAACAAATTAAAGTACACAACGCCAAAGGCTTTCGTGAAAAGAAAAGTTTTAGTTTGGTTTTAAAAACATTAGGTGATACTTCATTACATACTTCTACTGGCAAGTTGTTCCATTCTGCAGGTGCTGCTGAAGAAAAAGAATGATCTCCTTTAGTCGACAACATCTTAGTTTTAGGATAATTTAACAAAATTCCACCAGTTGATCTAAGACTAACATTGATGGTGTTTTACAGAAACAAGATCTTTAAGATAACTAGGTGCCAAACTATGTAGACTTTTACTATGTAACACCAACAGCACAATTTTGAAGTCAATACAAAATTTGATTGGCAGCCAATGCAAGGTGCACAGAATAGGTGTCACATGTATGACAAACTCGATCTGGACTTGTTACCAGTCTAGCAGCAACATTTTGAACCTGGACAACTGACAGCCAGGTGATCAGTAAACTATTACAGTATTCCAAACGACATCTGACAAAATCATGGATAAATGCTTACTGATGCGTTTTATATTATGAAGGTGATAAAAAGCAGCAGAACAAATTTTACTAATGTGAGTAGACATAGACATATTCAGGTCAAACCGTAAACCCAAGTTTCGGGCATAATTAACTGGAGTTCCATGTATACTAGAATCACCTACAGCCAAGTAAGGGATATTAACCTTCGACAGTTGTTCTCTTGTTCCAAGAACAATAAGTCTGTCGAGATGCATCCAACTCCTTATATCCTGCATACATTTTTACATGGCTGAAACTACTTCAGTTTGATCTGCAACACTACTTGGTTAAAATGACATACAGCTGAGTGCCATCTACATAACAAAGAACGTTAGGCAGTTGAGACTGAACAATATCAAAAATTCTAGAGGAATACATGACAAATAATAGTGATCGAAGACAAGAACTTTGAGGAACTTTAATGAAATTCATCAGACCTACCGGTACCAGTAGTTCCTTGAAACAGAACATGTTGCGTCCTATTGGTTAGATACTCAGGGGATTTGAACCAGTCAATAGCTCAGCCAGAAATACCAAATTTAGCATTCATACTGTCCAACAAAATGCCATGATCTGCTATATCAAAGCAGCACTTAAATCCAGTAAAATAAGAATTACGTGCTGAGAATCCACACTTAATAACTCATCATTTTTAACTAAATGAGAGCAGTTTCAATACTACGCATATAATTCTTCTATGCTGAGTGGAGAAGAGAGTGTAAATTATTTGTTGTCATGTAAGCATTAACTTGGTTGGATACAGCCCTTTCGATCAGTTTGGAAACCAAAGAAAGATTACTTACAGGTCGATAGTTCCCAAAAATTGCATTGTCAAGATGAGTCTTTTTTGAAATAGGAATAACTAACGACCCTTTTCCAATATGTAGGAAACACACCAGTGATCGACAGCAGCAGCGGAACAATTTCCAAAGTGGCGGGGGCAGTTGTTAGACAATCGTGCATCCGTCATTAATAGGTCAATCCATAAAGCCCCACCCAATTACCTGCAAAAAGTGGGGGGTCAGGCCCCCCCAGTCAAAAAGTGCGGGGGGGGGGAGGGGAGGCAGAGGACCACTGCCCCCCCTCCCACTTCCGCCACCAGTGGTGATTGAAGTACATGTACATGGAGTAATGATCTTACTAATAACCGGTAGCAACTGTCCATACAGTCCACTACTAAAGATGTTGGCAATGGATCCAAAGGACACAATTTGCTGCCCGAGTCCTTAATGAACCTCTTCACCTCAGCTTCAGTGAGTGGTGAGATACTGTACATGATTGAAGAGAATGGACAGACCTGTCAATTGAATGAAATGTCGTTGCTTGTGCCCCTTTTTCTGAATTTAATACTTGACCATCGAGTTTATTGCAAATTTTATCGATTTTTGTCACACTGAAACTTCCCATCTAATTGTCCAACTCCAATTTATTGTCAAACGGAGGCAGGGGAGTTGAAGTGTGTTGTTTCAGCAACCTCTTAGTAATCCTGACCAGCTCTAAACTACCAGAGGGGAGATTGAGCTCTCTCGCTGGTTTAGTGTGTGAGGTGTTGCAGGAATTCAGCTCGGTGGGCAAGGAAGTACCGGTACATGTACATGTATGTCTGAATAGTCAGGCCTTTGATAATTAGGACATGTGAATAAAGATGTGCAAACTACCAAATGTTTACTAAACTATTGAGACTCTTGAGTATGTCAGAGAATTTCTTTACTGAGCACAGATTTTGGAATTGCATACTGTCTTGCACATGTACTGGTAGTTTCAAAGGGGTCATAGGAGTCTTTTTTCATATCCATTTTTATGAGATTTCACTTTTCCATATTCCTTTTTTCATATCCATTTTTATGAGATTCCACTTTTCCTTTCATATTTTGCAGAAAAATAAACTTGGTGGAGATAATTGTTTTGTGTGATCCAAGCAGTGAAAAAAGCAGCATGTTACCCTACATGTATTTCTGTACACAGCTTCCACCTGTCTGCAGGGACAAATCCAGAACAAAATTTTTGAGGGGCCAAACCTTTTTGGGGAGAGGGGGTAATTCTGGAGATTATTCATTCATGTACATGTACTTTTATGGTCTCTCTGATTGGTGATTACAATTGGTTTTTTTTTTTTGCATGCTTCATTTGGGGGCTTTGCCTCGTTGATTGGTCAACAAATAATAGAATCAGTAATATTTTTAACATGATGTCTTATATTCCTTGCCCCAAAATAGATGCATTATGTACCATATGGCACATGCTACACACAGTACCCTGCATATCTCTGGTTGTAATCCCTAATTATCAAATGTTACGTGCAAAAAAATTCAAAATGGATGTCAACGATACTGGTACTTCGCCATTACTGCAGCA